CACCCAAAATCCACCCCAAATCTATCCAAAATCCACCCAAAATCCACCCCAAATCTATCCAGAATCCACCCAAAATCCACCCCAAATCTATCCAAAATCCATCCAAAATCCATCTGGAATCTATCCGGAATCCATCTGGAATCTATCCAGAATCCATCTGGAATCTATCCAAAATCCATCCAGAATCCATCTGGAATTTAGCCAGAATTCATCTGGAATTTATCCAGAATCCATCCAGGATCCATCCAGAATCCATCCAAAATCTACCCAAATTCCACCCCAAATCTATCCAAAATCCATCCAGAATCCATCTGGAATCTAGCCAGAATTCATCTGGAATTTAGCCAGAATCCATCCAGGATCCATCCAGAATACATCCAAAATCTACCCAAATTCCACCCCAAATCTATCCAAAATCCATCCGGAATCCATCCGGATTCAATCCAGCATCCATCCAGGATTTATCCAGAATCCATCTGGAATCCATCCAGAATCCATCCAGGATTTATCCAGAATTTATCCAGAATTTACCCAGAATTTATCCAGAATTTATCCAGAATTTACCCAGAATTTACCCAGAATTTATCCAGAATTTATCCAGAATTTATCCAGCATCCATCCAAAATCCACCCAAAATCCACACAAAATCCACCCAAAATCCATCCAAAATCCATCCAAAATCCACCCAAAATCCATAAAAACAATCCATCCAAAATTCACCCAAAATCCACCCAAAATCCACCCAAAATCCACCCAAAATCCACCCAAAATCCATCCAAAATCCACCCAAAATCCATCCAAAATCCACCCAAAATCCACCCAAAATCCACTCAAAATCCACCCAAAATCCACCCAAAATCCATCCAAAATCCACCCAAAATCCACCCAGAATCCACCCAGAATCCACCCAGAATTTACTACAATTATTTATTCCACAACACCAAATTATTTACGTGATAAGAACATTTACTGAAAACCCCTCTCCAGGCCAAAACCGAAAAATAAACAACTTTCCCTCCGGAAAACGAATTTCTGCTTGCAGGAATTGAGACATTTATTGAGGACTGATCATTAATGAATTTTTAATTTATTGTGGGAATCATCAGGGCTGAAACCTCCCCAAGCAGCTCAGGCAGATCTTTAATGGGTTATTTTTTTTATCATCCTGGGGTAAAATTTCTGTCAACCTCAAGCATTGATCTGCTCTGGAGGTTTGAAATCGTTCATGGGATGAGATTTCCTCGATTTTTGGCTCGGTGATGAGCTGGGGAGGGAGGAAGTTTGATTTCCTTCACCGCCTCTCATCGATTTTGGTTTGGTTTTTATAATTTTAATTCATCGAAAATGCTTTTATTCGCCCAGCTCTGGTTTTTCAGAGGCATCCAGGGAGATCTGGGTGAGATCTGTTCATTTTTTAGGGTTAAAATGTTCATTTTTGGGGGTTAAAATGATCATTTTTTAGGGTTAAAATGTTCATTTTTTAGGGTTAAAATGTTCATTTTTTAGGGTTAAAGTGTTCATTTTTGGGGGTTAAAGTGTTCATTTTTTAGGGTTAAAATGATCATTTTTGGGGGTTAAAATGTTCATTTTTTAGGGTTAAAATGTTCATTTTGGGGGGTTAAAGTGTTCATTTTTGGGGGTTAAAATGTTCATTTTGGGGGTTAAAGTGTTCATTTTTGGGGGTTAAAGTGTTCATTTTTTAGGGTTAAAATGATCATTTTTGGGGGTTAAAATGTTCATTTTTTAGGGTTAAAATGTTCATTTTGGGGGGTTAAAGTGTTCATTTTTGGGGGTTAAAATGTTCATTTTGGGGGTTAAAGTGTTCATTTTTGGGGGTTAAAGTGTTCATTTTTTAGGGTTAAAATGTTCATTTTTGGGGGTTAAAATGTTCATTTTTTAGGGTTAAAATGTTCATTTTTGGGGGTTAAAGTGTTCATTTTTTAGGGTTAAAATGATCATTTTTGGGGGTTAAAATGTTCATTTTGGGGGGTTAAAATGTTCATTTTGGGGGTTAAAGTGTTCATTTTTTAGGGTTAAAATGTTCATTTTTGGGAGTTAAAATGTTCATTTTTTGGGGTTAAAATGATCATTTTTGGGGGTTAAAATGTTCATTTTGGGGGGTTAAAGTGTTCATTTTTGGGGGTTAAAATGTTCATCTTTTGGGGTTAAAGATGTTCATCAGTAGGATTAGAAATCTTTATCCCTGGGGTTATAAATGTTCATTAGGGTCAGAAATCTTTATCCCTGGGGTTAAAAATGTCCATCTATGGGGTTAAAATATTCAATAGGGTTAAAAATCTTTATCCATGGGGTTAAAAATGTTCATCCATTGGGGTTACAATATTTAATAGGGTTATAAAACTTTATCCCTGGGGTTAAAAATGTTCATTAGGGTCAGAAATCTTTATCCCTGGGGTTATAAATGTTCATTAGGGTTAAAAATCTTTATCCATGGGGTTAAAAATGTTCATTAGGGTCAGAAATCTTTATCCCTGGGGTTATAAATGTTCATTAGGGTTAAAAATCTTTATCCCTGGGGTTATAAATGTTCATTAGGGTCAGAAATCTTTATCCATGGGGTTAAAAATGTTCATTAGGGTTAAAAATCTTTATCCATGGGGTTAAAAATGTTCATTAGGGTCAGAAATCTTTATCCCTGGGGTTAAAAATGTTCATCTATGGGGTTAAAATATTCAATAGGGTTAAAAATCTTTATCCATGGGGTTAAAAATGTTCATCCATTGGGGTTACAATATTTAATAGGGTTATAAAACTTTGTCCCTGGGGCTAAAAATGTTCATTAGGGTCAGAAATCTTTATCCCTGGGGTTAAAATATTCAATAGGTTTAGAAATCTTTATCCCTGGGGTCATAAATGTTCATTAGAGTTAGAAATCTTTATCCCTGGGGTTATAAATGTTCATTAGGGTCAGAAATCTTTATCCCTGGGGTTATAAATGTTCATTAGGGTCAGAAATCTTTATCCCTGGGGTTAAAAATGTTCATTAGGGTCAGAAATCTTTATCCCTGGGGTTCCAAATCTTTATCCCTGGAGTTAAAAATGTCCCTGGAGCTGCTGCAATCTGCTCAGGGCTGTGCTGACCTGTTCTTGCTGCTATTCCAGGCCCCACCTAAGCTCCTTATCCTAAAAATAGAAATATAAAAATAAAAATAAAAAATAGAAATGTAAAAATAAAAGTAAAAATAAAAAATGAAAATGAAAATAAAAATAAAAATAAGAATAAAAATAAAATTAAAATAAAAATAAAAATAAAAATAAAAATAAAAACAAAAATAAAAATATAAATATAAATATAAATATAAATATAAAAAATAAAAATAAAAATAAAATAAAAATAAAAATAAAAATAAAAATAAAATAAAAATAAAATAAAAATTAAAATTAAAATTAAAATAAAAATAAAAATAAAAATAGAAATAAAAATA